TCATTGTCCCGTTTCTTACTCGTTAAATGTTACGACGAACCATTTCGTTTATCGTGTCCCTATAAAGGTATTTGCGGCACCAAATCACCCTCAAACAAGGCACTTTCAGTCTATCGAATGAGGATTCGTCCAAGACGAAACGACGACGACGAAGACGAAGACGACGACGACGAAGACGACGACGACGAAGACGACGACGTTCAACGATCGTCGACAGAGATCCAAAGAGTTTCTTGAAAAGCAAGGAAAGAAAAGAAAGGAAAAGAAAAGAAAAGAAAAGAAAAGAAAAGAAGAGAAAAGAAAAGGAAATGTGTGGTTGTACACGATTCCAGTAGATCCTAAGAGAAGGAAGAAACGAGCCTTGGCATCTTCTTCGCCGCCGTCGTAATCATTGCAGTTCCGTCGAGCTGTAAGGTGGATTATGAGCATCCACATCTCTCGACGACCATGCCTGGTAATCGCGAGAACACGATTTGATACTCGTTGTCAAAGTAGAGCATCGTGATCTCGGAGAGTTTCCTCGGGGCGCAACATGGACCAGAGTTCTTGGGAGGTTCCGCCAGGCTGACGATGTGAGTGTTGGGGTACGTTGGCAGAAAAGCCATGGGGCAGTCGCCCGAACAGTAATTGGCGTCGTACCTAACACACAAAACGATGGTGCGTTTACGATTACGCGTGGTCACCACCTAAGTTTTAATTTGATTTAGAATCGGAAGCAGGAAGTGGCAGTAGAGGTATTTGGAAGAATGTACCTAGGTGATAAGTAGCTAAAAAAGTCGAATATGAGAATGTAAAGTATAATAATTAGCAGAGAGCGGAGTACATACTTTTTCGGCGCGATTATCCAATCCCAGCCAAACTTCTCAAAGTCGACGGTGAGTTTGTATCGACAACACCTGGTCTCCTGGCTGGTTTCATCACAATTGAGTCCTACGTTTCTCTTGATCCTTGCGCCCCTTCTAGAATCGAGTTCTTGCGTCTGTACCTCGAGGTACGGCGCGTACTCGGCTCCGGGATTAGTCTCGACCAATTTCGAATTTTTGCAATGAGCGGCGAGACCGGCGGGACCGGCGGGACCGGAGACGTTTAGAGCTACTCCGAGATTGTCCCTAGGATGCTTAAACCATTCGGCAACCATTTTTGTCAACTCGATCGTTACCCAGTTACCCCTGCAGCCGACCGGTCGAGGATGTTTCGTGGTCAAAGATGGGCGTAACGACGGCCCTTCGGTCTCAGTGCCACCACGAAGAATCCTCTGCAACGTGATCGTCACCGGCCCCCCCCCTTCTTCCGGTTGATTGCTACCCCATATCCACAGGGATAATTCTGCCTTGGTCACGCGATGCTGAACCACCTTGTCGGAGAATTTGAAATAGAGAAAGTCGAGGCTGCCTTTCGAGTGCCGTATTCTCTGATCTGAAACGAAGGCGTAACGAGAAAAATCGGTTAAGTCGGTGAAACGTTGGAGAAACGGAGAGATAGAGGGAGAAGGGAGAGAGGAATCGATACCGAAGAAAATCCTCGGGTTCTGCGATTGGCGATAAATCAAGAACAACCGGTAACGTTGCCGCGGAGTTTCTTGCCGGTGGAGACGTACCGGGTTAGCTCGCGCGCGCCAACGTCCGACATTTACCTCGACCAAGAGGACTCGCGAGCAGCGGTCCAGTCGTAGCGATCGATGGTAGACGCGATTCGCCATCGACAGAGATCGATCGGCGAAGAAGAGAAGGGAGGAAAGAGGGAGCGGAAAAACGGTGAAACGAGTTGTTCGTACAGATGCGTGTAGCGTTAGTCCCGGCTCTATTCAGGCCATTGCACGCTCAGACCGCTTCCATGAAGGGGTAAAGCCACCTGAAATCGTACCGTTACGCGGACTACGTTTTTCGTTTGTCGATCAATCAGTAATCTCCTCTTTCCCGTATCGATACCGCCGTCGTCGTAGCCGTCGTCGCCGTAGTCGCCGTCGTCGTCGTAGCCGCCGCCGCCGCGACTTTGTCCTGCCTCGCCTTCGAAAGAAACAGGCTCGTCCTGGTATTCCCCGCTGGAACCCAACAACTCGATCGCACCGTCGCTTTGCCTAGATACATACCAACCGTCACCTTTTTTCTCCTCTTTTCCCCTTTCTTTCCCTCGCGAGCCCTGACGAAGAGATCGTTTCCCTGAGAGGCTGCTGCCACACGCGACGCTTGAGAGAAGGTTCGCTCTGAATTATTACAGCGACACGACGACAACGACGACGACGACGATCCGATGTGCACGGAGCGTCCGTTTGTTCGAATTCGAGCGTCGGTATATCGCCTTATCGTCCCGACTGTCACACGCCGCGCCGTACCTCTTATTTCCGGCGACGTTTCGAGATAATTATTTATCAGGAGCAGCTCTCCTTCCTCTCGCTCTTCCCCACGGCAACGGTCCGCTATGGAAGCGACGAGCAATTAGCAGTGGAAGCATTCCGACTGCGTACCGAATCCCTCTTTAAATCGATTTCTATGCCGGCTAATTGCACGCCGATTGACGCAACGTCGCGCTCCCCTCGCTCCTCATTAGTCTGCTTCCCGACATCCCATCCACGTCTCGTTCCGTCTCGAAATTTCTAGGGGACGAGGAAAAAATTCGCGCGAAACGAGATTAACCAATTTACCTACCGCGTATCGATCGCCGACTTGTCGTTTTCACGCAGCTACGGGTATGTATGCATGTATGTATGTATGTAGAAAATGGGAACGAGACGCGACGATGCGACGCGACGCACTCGAACGAAAGAGAGTGACGCACAGTGGCACCAGAGAAACAGAAACGACGTTCCTTTCGTTCAACACGTACTACCGCGCCTTCGACGTCGCCTTTCTTTCTTTCTTTTTTTTCGTTAATTTTGGGAGTTGACCTTCTTTGTGTTTGCAGGTCAGACGCAGGAATGAGTCATGGCCTGTGTGTCGAAAGGCGCGGATGGAAAGAGCGGCGAGACAGAAAGATGGCAATTTTATTTTCGTCCAGACGCCGCCGCGGCTACCAACCGTCTCGCAGGAAATCTTTAAATCCGCATTTACCGGTACACCCGGGAAATCGTCGGTCGGAAATACATACGTGGAGGGAAAAATAGAAGAGTAACATGAGAGTAAATGAGAGCAGCATTGTCTGGTCTCTCCGTTAGTAGTAAAATTTCATCATTTCCCGTCGCGTACTCTCGCTCCAGACTTGACCACGGTCTAAAACACGTGGCGGTGCGAGGTGGCACGGCGCGACACGACGTAGACGCAAATAAATGCGTAGAGTGAGCGCGACAGAGGAAGAAAGAGGCTGGATGCGAAGGTAAAAAAGAAAAATCCGATCGCGGCATAGAAGAGCGACAATAAAGCTAAAACGCTAAGTACACTCCGTGCTTCAGCGCTTGAGATAAATATAGTTTTAAGCGAACGGAGGTCACTCGCATCGCGAGACCATGTAGTAGAATCGTTTTCTAGTTTCTTACCACGTTGAATCGCATTTTCGTTAACCGAGCAGAAAACCGATGGTACCGTTTGTGGTAAGGCGAGAGAAAAATTGCCGTCGGAACGGTGCTAGCAAGGAATAAAAGGGAAAGCGAAACGAAGAGTGAAGTTTGAACGAGTGGAAATGATGGAAAACAACGGTGATACCGCGGTGTCGTGGCCCTGCCTATAAATAAATGAAGAAATAATTGATACGAGTAGCTAACTCCTGTCCCCCCATCTCGTACGTATCCTCGGTGCACTTTTCGCCGCTATCGTTCGGTTCTTTCACGCTTGGACGCAGCAGCAGTAGTC